TCTGTGTTTTATTAAGAAGTCTTCTAAGTGCCAATAAGAACAGTTTAGTTTATTTGTGACTCAGCTATTGTAAGTCATTAATAATGGCAGGAAAAGCCAGAGGATAAATTCCTTTGTATTTAGAAGTGTTTTTCCCTTTCTAATAGACCTTTATTTGACATTACTCTTCCATGATAAATGGGGAAGAGAAAAGAGGGGGAAATCTATTTCAAGCAGTGGCTTTTAAATAAACAAAAGGAGATTTTTTTTGTGTGTAATTAAGTTGGTGAGCATTATTGGCCATTATGCAGGATTAGGATTTAGTAAGCCTCCTTAGATTTTTTCCTCAAGACTTTTTTCTTTGTTTTTTATTTTGTTATTAGCATTTGTGAAACCAAGGTCCTTCTAAAACTAAGAGGGTTGCATATTCAGCATATATAGTGCTGGATTGATATGTGGAACCCACTGAATTCCCTTTTATAGTTGTACCTTGGTTTTCAAGCAGCTTAGTTCTTGAACATTTTGGCTCCCGAACACCGCAAACCCAGAAGTGAGTGTTCTGGTTTGCAAACTATTTTTGGAAGCCGAATGTCCGATGTACCTTCCGCGGATTCCAGTTGAGTGCAGGAAGCTCCTGCAGTCAATCGGAAGCCGCGCCTTGGTTTTCGAACGTTTTTGGAAGTCGAATGGACTTCCAGAACGGATCCCGTTCAGGAACCAAGGTACGACTGTGTTTTCCTTAAAAGGCAGAAGATTCCATAACATCTGTTTATTGAAGAAATTCACAATGTTCTCTCTACATTTTCATTTTAAATTGTAGCTAGACTGTGGATTTCAGCCACCAGAGAATGGTGCCAGTATTACTTCTTTTTACTTAACAGCCAGGTCTTCTGCTGTTGAATGGGATGCTTCCTCCTCAATCCATCCTCCAGAAGTACACTTTTATTTATTTATTTTTTTAGAAAGGTACTGACTTTGCTTCATGTTGTAGAATTAGGGTGCATTCTTGAGGCACTGTTCCCTCCCAGAGCTGTGCTTCCCACACCCTCCCAGTTTTTTGGCGGGATAATTGTCTCTTTTAATTTGTGACATGCTAGTCAATGACAGCCTTCGTTTGAGGAATTACAACTTGTTTTGAGAACAGGATCAATGGGACCCTTTGATAAATTCAGGCAGGGCAAGTACACAGCAAAAACCTGATTCTGAAGAGCCCTCCAAAGTCTACTCATTCAAGACTTTCCCTGGCTTTGGATGGATTTTTCATGATCACAATCACCCTATAATTGCTTAAGTGATCCTGAAAAACCCCCAGCCTTTATAGTAACATGACCCTTCAAGAGTTAAATATTATAACTTTGTATGGACTAGAGTTAGAGTCCACCCCTCTACCCATCCAATAGTAAAGAAATAAGCTTGTTTGCCTGCAATAAGAAGGGAGAGTTTGTTTATTCTGAATTTTTATTGATGCCTAGATCAGGACTGGGTGCTTTCTGCTAAAGATTGAAATAAATTAATGTGATCTGAAAAAGTATCTATCTTAAGATACTCTTTACTCTTTTAAAGCACTTACTATACAGTACTCAAAATCTTTTTCTTGAATACTTACTGGTAAAGGATGAAAATAACCCTAAAGGAATATAAACATTGTTGTGCACACTACAGTTAGCTGGTTGGCTGGCCAGCTAGGCCTAATTTCTTATTTTTCAAATGTGTGCAGCTGAGCATGAGGCCACATTTTTCTGTGGACAGAAAAATAAACCAGCAACCAGCAAAAATTCCAATTGCTTTTCATATAGTTTCCAATTAGTCCTTTATATTGTGACCAGTTAACAAGTTTTCCATTGATTATCCAACCAGAAGGAAAATCTAAAGGTTAGGAGCAAGATGAGAAGGAGGGACCCTCAAGGAGGAATTAATGAACACACCCTAAAGGATCCCCCCCCTCCCTTCATAGTGCATAGTTTTAAGCCAATAGAAAGCTTTTCACATGTTTGTTCTTTTAGGGTTCACATGGGAACTACATAGCTGTTGCAGCTGACTGGTGCTGTCTAGCTTTCCAGACATGTCCCTTTAAACCTTGAAAATTGTATAGCCCCAGTGACAATTTCTTCCGGTAGTGGAGAAAAATCATTTTTATGCACAGTCAAAAATGAAACTGTTTTGGCTCAGATGTGCACTGGAAGCACCCTCTGCTGGTTGTAATTAGAACACATCAATTGTGTGACCCAAGGTCCTGTAAATATTAACAATGGATGGAGATTCTCATAGTATCTTCCGTGAAGAAGAAGAGAGCTTGGATGGGGGCATCACTCTTTCCAGTGACCATCACACACTGAGCGTTTCCATATACTTATTGATGATTGAAAGTTGATAATGAATAATATTGAAGGCATGGGATACAGGAAACCTCAGTAAATACCTTGTTCGGAGTTTCTAGTGAAGGTCATAAAGTAGTGATGTCATATATGTCTGACACTACTTCTTCCTGCAAACAAAGAAGCCAAGAAAGTTACATTGTTTTGGCTAAGAATGCAATCTCTCCACCTCAATGAAAACATTTTGTGTGTTCTGTATCTATTCAAAATACATAAGAAATTGCATAGCTTCCTTGTAAATATATAGAAAATAATTATTTTTAATAAGTGGGAATGCCATTTAGGTTTTCTCTTTATAATATTTTAGGTCAATGGACATTTCCTACTTTCAAATAATATGGCTCTGCTTTCAACTTCCACTTTTTGCTTAGATTGGATTATCGTAGAGGATGTGAAGATTCCCTGATGAGGAGAAAGGATGTTAACAGAAGTATTAATAGATTTAATAACATCGGAGCTAGCTAGCAACTGCTCAGTCATTCCTGTTATTACAAGCCATGTACAAATACTAGAGCAAAGACATATTAGAAGAAAAACCTGTCATATTTTGGGTTCTCTTATCTCATATGTGTAGGAGTTCATTCCAAGAGGGAAACTGAGGTGGCAGTTTCCTCTGATAAACCCCATAAAATGTTCCTGATCCATCAAACAGCAGCTACCACTGTATCCCAACATTAAGTAGGATAGTGGACCATTTTCTTTTAGATTTGTATATGACCTACGTTACAAAATTCCTAAGTGTTATTGTACTATACTCACCAAAGAAATAATGCAAAGTTTATTTTTAAAATGCAGTTTAAAGAAGATCTTGTTCTGTGGAATATAAATGTAGCCTTATTGTGTGCATATACTCAGGAGTAAATACCAGGCAGAAAGGAACCTGCACATATCATTTACAGGAGGCTTGATAGTCATACTAAGGATTAAGGTACTTGATGTTCAGCTGTTTCAGCTTCCCAGGTGTCCTAGATGGAGGCAAGCCAGCTCAGTTTACAATCTGAGCCAGAAAAGACCTTTAGGAAGAAATGTTGCTCTTCTCAGAATGCAAGTAAATTGTACAAATTGGTCTTTTTTGTTCTGGACTAAGTAATGGCAAATTTCAGTAGGAAAACTACTATCTCTCGTTAGCACTACCTAAACAGAATCCACCTCTCTAGTTTCATATAGCATAGGTGGTTGCCGACAGACATTTTTAAAAAGCAGCCTTCATGGGCTGGTTGGGACTGATGGGAGTTGTAGTCCAAAGGCTGTTATAAATAATAAAACATTAAAAGAGCTTAGGCAAGAAGGTCAATATGATACACCCCAAAGTTCAGAGTATTGCAACATACCTGTATGCTAGAAGCTGAAACACAGTTCAGGAAGTTGGTGTGGTTCTCATGACCAGAAGGGTTTCTCTGTAGGTTCTGATAGTGCCCTTTTCAGCAGACAGGGTAGCAAACAGGCTGGGTGGGTAGGCGTTTGTATATTTCATTCTAACATTCATTTTCGTTGAATGTGAGAAGGAACCAAGTGGCTGAAATATCTCAGTAGCATCTGGGGCTAACCAGGAGTTGAATAGAGCATGAGTCATTAATGAACGATCCAGCTGTCCTTCCTTTCTGTCTTTCTGGTTGTAGAAGATTTTGCTCTCCGTGTTCTTAAGCATCATTCTACTGTTGGGTGGAAAGGAAGGCCAGCTAGTTGGTCAGCTTGTGAGAAGGGCTCCTTCTGCTTGTTACACATTCTGTCAGCTTTCATGGTTCAGCTGCCGCTGGTGCCAGTTTTCTAGAAGACCTGAATTAAAATTTATGGCTACTACTGTTCTTCTGTGGCATTTATATATATCCATGTCATTTTGAATCATCTGCATATAACTGTATTTTATTTAAAAAGCATGGGCTTCTAATAATGGATGGATGCTTTTGATATTACTTGTAATTGTAACATTAATGTTTTTACTACTTGGGAGAAGCATCTTTTACCTGCCGTGGCGGAGCTGATTTTTTTTTTTTTTTTGAAAGATAATATTTTAAACCTCTTGCATATTAGGTTTGCTGGGATCAGTTACAGTGAGTAGATTGGAAGCTGATGTTACATTAACAACTGGTGTCGTCCAATGTTGTATGGTTTAAGACCTCAGCCTTAGACACTTTAGATTAAATGTCCAAACAGCCATCTCCCTTCTTCCTAAAATTAAATCCTTTACTTTCAGTTCAGATTTATTTTAGATACTCTGCCTTGGGATAGGCTGCTCATATGAAGTGAATCATTGCACATCTAAGACACAAGAACTTGAATGGAAGGGCAACATAGTAGATGTAACTGTCTCCCCTATATGATGATAGTAGTGGTTGTTTTCTTTTAAAAATCCCAGTAATTTAGAACAAATTCATTTCTGCTGCAAAACATGTAGCATATGATGGAAATAAACAGACAACAGGTATTCAATAACAGCAATTTATCAGTAAATAGCGGGGGGGAGCCTTTTACTTTGGATTCTGAGTAGATTTGTCTCTGAATGGTGTTGAGTGTTAGATAAACTCTTCAGTTTATTGAATCCACTTATATGGAATGGTGTTGTTTCTAAGTACTGCCCACAGATAATTGGATGTTTTGTGTTGAACAGCCACGAGAGATAATTGGATATTCTTCTTCTCTGTCCAGGTATTGGACTGGATTGAAAACCATGGGGAAGCCTTCCTTAGTAAACACACTGGAGTGGGAAAATCCCTGCATCGGGCACGAGCTCTTCAGAAAAGACATGACGATTTTGAAGAAGTAGCACAGGTAAGCAAGTGACAAATCTAAGCAAATTGCTTTGACAGAGGATACCATTGTACTGATTTATTGTGTTGTTTCCAGGACTCTGAAGTGCTCTGAGCTTTCTTTTCAAACATGTGAAATAAACTGTTTTGTTGGGATCTGGGGGTGAAAACCTACAATGTTTACAGGTTGAGTGCTCACTGAAAAGAGATGGAGGAAACTTTGAAGTACAGTGCCAGGAGAGTCTAAATTTAGATGAGTGTTCAGTCTTTCTTTTTCCTTTCCTTTTTCTTTTTCTGTGTGGAGATGGTAGATGCAGTAAAGTGGGTAGCAGCAGAGCAACTACAGGTTTTCTTGGATTATACACCTTATCTCAGTCCTTTCCATGCAGGATTCTTGCCTGATTATGGCTGGAAGCAACTTTCACAGCCTTGGTAAATGATTTGTACCTAGAGGCTGACTGGGGAAATGCTGTTGATCAGAAGCATTTGAGATTGTACATTGTTCTCTTGCATCATTTGGCTTGTTGGATGGGGATGTCAAGGTTGGCACTCCAGTGATTTAGTTCATTCTGTCTGTTCATACTTAGGAAGACTAGGAGAGCCCAATGGGAGTTAAATAAAAAATAAATAACTTCCATATTTGGCCAGTGTAATGTGACAGTGACTCCGGAGTTGTAGTTTACATGTGCAGAGGCATGATGATATTTAAACTGTGTTTCACCAATTGTATTAACTGACTGTGGTCTTCTGGGACCAGTTCAAGACTTGACTGATAAAGCCTTAGCCATTCATGGTCTGGGCATATCTAAATGATTGACCATGATATTATCATTTTCATATATATATATATTTCCATGGGAATCAGTCCACAAAACAATTTGATGTCAGAATAAAGCATAATTCACAAAAAGCACATCAAAGGAATTACTGTTGTTGTACCTTTTTATAACTAAGGCAAAATAGAAAAATAGTACACATCCAATCACCATACTAGCCCTCTCTAACTCTAGGTTCTATAAGCTGCAGTAACCACAAAAGCTACCGCTCATGCTGTTTCTCAGTGTGGCTTCTCCTTGGGCATCCAGCTTATTCAGTCAACATGGCGCTATCCCATTCTCCAGAAGACATTAGCTTAGCCTCCAGTATGATGGCTTCAAATTACTTCACAGTAAGGCTTTTCATTCTCACAGGTACCAGTATGTACCTTTGAAAGTCAACTTAGCAAAAATAAAAATCTGAAGGATCTGAAGGATCTTAATAGTCTATTGTTCTTACTGCCATATCCTTGAGACTAAATAATGTTATACCATCTCTTGATTTCTTCCATTGGCTCCTGTTTATACATTCAATCTTATTGTCATGATTAATTCATCTCTTCCTTGGCATTTACAGCCAGTGGATAGAAGTATGTCTCTTCTTAATTGAGACTTCCCATAACATACATATTGAATTCCTTTGGGCTACTTTTTGATTACTTAAGCATCCTTAAACCCTCCCCCACCCATCATTTGACTACTTATTAATGAACTTCCGGAGAGTGTAGAGGTGTTCTGGTCAGAAGAGTAGCTAGTCAAGAAATAAGGGTTCACTCTGTATTGGGTGAGATATCACACCATAATTCACCAAATAATTAGCACTCAGTTGTCTGTACCACATTTGTAATAGAAACAACAGCAAAACAACCTATTTTTTTTTGTATTGGTATTTGGAAAAATATATTTGGTTTCATTTGGGAAAGAAGTAAGAGAACACAGGAAGCCACCAGTCTCAGGAAGAAGGAAAGAAACCTTCAGGTGCACAAGCGACAAGCTTTTATTGAGCCCAATGCATTTCAAACTGAGCTCTTCCTTTAGGGCACTATGAATATAAATAATATGAACCTGAAGAAAAGAATGGGCATATTCCTCTTGAGTATGCTCCATTATTGCTGATTTCCAAAGTGCTATGTGACACTTTCATGTTCAGAATGTGAGATGTTTGGCTTTTGGAAGTGAATAGGAATATGCATGCACAATAAAGGTTTTTTTGCATATGCCCCAACCCATTATATGTGTGCTAAAAAACATCTTTACTGCACATCCACATCTCTGTTTGCTAAGTTTTCATACTGGTCACCATCTGCCAGGAGAGTCCATTTTCCCCAGCCATAATGAAACTATGTGTGTGTACTTTTTAGATCTCATCCTATTATTTCCTTCTAGCTAGTCTCACTGTCTCTACAAACATAATACCTCCTTCAGAAATCTACAAATCCCAGTCTTGTTTTTTAGGGAATCCTGTTACAAAGTTATTTTAATGCAGAATGTTAGGTCCCCTGCTGGGAATTCATAAAAGCTTGATCAGAAGCAGGAAATAGGGTTAGAGATTCAAGCGGAGTATTTTTGTTTTGGAAACTGATAATAGTGCTTTGACATGGCTGTTTGAAAACTTGTATATAAGGTTATTTAAGAGAAGGTTTTAAAGGGACTGTAGAGGAGGGCAGAGAAACATCCTTCTGTCTCTCCTGTCCTCTTGCTTCATGTGGATAGGAACTGAACATCATGGCAGGGAAGCAATGGGAACAGAAGGGCTTTCCTGCTATTCTGCTCAATATCAAAGACTGCTTATGCCAAGCCAGAGAGAACCACGGGATTTCCATGTCCCTTCTTTCTACATGTGAGGATGCCAAGCCAGAATTGTAAATTTTTAGAATCCTGTTTTTAAAATAGGTGACAAATATCCTGGATAAAGGAAAGAGGGTTTCATAGTTTAGGGTTCGTAATATTTTGCTCTATCGATCCAGAATGTCAATTACCATTTCAGAACATGGCTCTTCTTCCCACTATTGACCATATCCCCCTACTGACTTCAATAGCAGCTTGACCTGTGCCTTGTCTCTGGATAGATTTACACAATTTACACGAGAATCATCTTACTAATTTATGGGGAATGTCTGAAATGTGACCGCTGAATGCTATGTGTCACTCTGGTACATATATAGCTTGAAACCAGGAAACTCCCACATTGTATCAAAGGTTAAAGGTTTGTGAAAATAATACTCATTTCTTTGGAAAAGTGTGATAGCAAAGTGCAGAGGCCAGACATTTGTCAAACCTAGGATTCCTTTGAAGAATTGTATCTTGTGTTGGATATAATTTATTATGTGGTTTGGGGAGGAATTTCTATGTTATCCACTGGTTGCTTGATGATAGTCACTTGTTTTGCTCAAGCCATCTGTCTGTTTTCAAAGTTAAATGCTAACTGTGTAGATTTAGGAATATAAATGGGAGGGAATATAAATGGGAGGGGCATTTTGTGGGGTCAGATGGAAGTACTCCTTCCCATAATTTTTCTTCAATAACATATATATTTCTTCTTCTTTTAATAATCACAGCAAAAACCATTGTTCTTCAAATGTGCTACAGTTTGATAATCAGGCCACTGATCTTGCTGTGAACCTGGTCCTTCTTCTCAGAAACTGTAATATAAAAGTCTGAATATAAAAGGTGATTTCTTGCTCTGTTGATCCCAGAGCATAAGAAATACTGAATGATTAAGATGTAATTCTGAAGTATCCTGGATTCCCAGAAAGGTCTCTCCAACCCCTCATTGCATTTGTAGTGCCCCTGATATTTCCTCCCCGCCCCCTCTGCTGTTGCATTAGATTTATGAGTTCATTCTGACGACATGTTGTGGCTTATTTGCATCTCAAAAAACCTGGGCACACAAGCAATTTGTTTGCATGACTAGTATAATATGGGAGCCACATGACCATGGGCTCCTTCCATGAAAAGAAAAAATACATCTTCTACCTTGTGGGAAATGAAATTGTCAGCAAGGCAATTGAGTTTGTTGGAACCTTACATTCTTGGCAGAGCTTTGAGTTCCAACAGACATCAGGGTAGTTGAAGTCTTCCCATGACTACTATAGCTCTCCTTTTTGAATATTTGGTAATATCATTCAAGTCCTCAATCTGGCTTAGAGGTCTATAGTAGACAGCCACAGTAAGGTCACTGCTGTTTCCCTCTCCTACACTTTTTTTACCCATATATTCTCAATCTGCTTCCATTGCTCCCAAAGTCATGAGATCCCTTCACAAGTGTACACTAGGACTGGATGGATTGGAGGCTGCCTGCACTTGGATGGGGTTGCACTCCCTCTTAATGAGTGAGTACGTAGCTTAAGGGGTACTCCTGGATCCTTTGCTGCTTGCTTGAGGCTCAAGTGCGCCTGGTGGCACAAAGTGCCTTCCATCACCTAGTGGCTCAGCTGTGCTCCTGTCTGAACAAGGATAGATCTAGGGTCTATGTTCTGGTTACCTTCAGAAGGCTGCCTCTGAATATAGTTCAGAAACGTCAACTGGAATTTGGTGGCCAGATTGCTCAATGAGGCAGGGCAATTTGGTTTCCAGGCCCGATTCAAAGTGCTCTTCTTGACCTATAAAGCCTTAAACAGCTCAGGACCTCAATGCCTCAAGGAGTGCCTCTCCCCATATGAACCAATTCTGGCCCTGAGGCTCTTCTTCGTGTACACCCTCAATGAGAGGTCCAGAAGGCGGCAACACAAGAATGGGCCTTTTCTTTGGTGGCGCCGTTTGTGGAATGCTCTCCCCAGGGAGACTTGCCTGGTGCCTTCATTATAAATCTTCAGGTGCTAGGTAAAAACGTTTCTCTATAACCAGACCTTTGGCTGATTAAACAATCTATGGCCTTTTAAGTGTGTTTGTGGGAAACAATTATTGTTTGTTTGTTTTTGTTTTCTTTGTTATGTATTTTGTATTCTCATTTTGTATGTTTGTTGTGAACCATGATGTGATATTCAGTTGAAGGGTGGCATACAAATCTCATTATTAATAATAATATGTCTATTAAGGATTGGAAATATAAATAAATTGTTTACCCCTTTATCAGAAAAATAACGCTGTTGCAAAGTGAATAAGGGATGGTGATTAGAATTTGCATTTTTGGTCCTGCAGATGGCACTGTCCCTGCATCTCGATGTCAAAAGTCTGACCCAGTGGCCTCATTTTAAAACCAACTTAG